ACACACACACACACACACACACACACACACACACACACACACACACACACACACACACACACACACACACACACATTATCATGATCGGATCGTCACGCCTACTCCACACGCTAAGAGCTGCTGTCAGAGCGCCACTTCAGCCTGAGGACCGCCAACAGGTGTGTGCGCACATGTGTGTACGTGTGTGTGTCGTGAGGACAGAGGGAGGGAGACAACTGCTGCTGGTCTGCAGGGAGCAGATGTTCTGGATCTAAACTGTTAATAGCTGCAGGATCTCCTTACGGTTAACTCTTTAAAGGCCAAAGTTTCATCCGGGGACAAAACTGTCCCTCAGCGTCTTTATTTCATGTCCTCAGTGTTGTCGTTACCCGTCTCAGTGTCTTCATTTCAGTTCAGTTTATTTAGATAGCGCCAAGACACAACATACATCGTCTCAGGACACTGTGCATGAAGAAAAACAAAACAATCTAAAGAAGAAGAATTTCATGTCCTCACCGTCTTCATTATCTGTCCTCTAACAGGAGACAAACACGTGACGCACACTGACTGACAGTCGTCTTAGCTGTTACCAATTAGCTGATATAAGAATTTTAGCTTGTGTAGCATTAGCTTCTCTTAAATTTTACATGTTAACTGTTAGCTTACTTGTTTACTGTTAGCTTCCACTAATGTTTTAATGTTCGCTTCTGCTAATTATTCCTCATTTAATGTCAGTTTATGCAAATTTTTGCTCATTTAGCGTTAGCTTCTTATAATTTTTACTCATTTTTCAGTTAGCTTCTTATAATTTTTTGCTCGTTTGTTAGTTTCCACAAATCTTCGCTCATTTAATGTTAGCGTATGCTAATTTTTGTTAGCTTAATGTTAGCTTCTGCTAAGTTTTGTTCTTTTAATGTTAGCTTCTGGTAATTTTGCTTGCTTAACGTTAGCGTCTGATAATTTTTGCGTATTTAATGCTAATTTTTGTTAGCTTAATGTTAGCTTCTGTTAATTATTGCCTATTTAATGTTAGCTTTTGCAAATTTTTGCTAACTTAATTTTAGTTTTCTCTAAATTTTGCAAATTTATTGTAGGTTTCCACTAATTTTTGCTTGTTTAATGTTAGCTTCCACTAATTGTTGCACCTTTCATGGTAGAGTTTGAAAACTTTTGCTTGTTTAATGTTAGCCTTTGCTAAATCTTGTTAGTTTAGTGTTTTTGATTAGTTTTTCCACATCTTAGCAGTTTAGCCCTACTAGAGCTATATTTTCAGTTAGATTATGAGCAAAGCTAAGTTTTGGGTTAGCTGTGCGCTACTGGCGGTCGTACTTGTGTTTGGTGCCTGTCTGTGTATCTCCTGACCCACTGGGTGGATCTGATCTCAGTGATCCCCAAATGAATGTCTAAAACTGAACAATACTTAGAATCAATCAAATTCAAGATGGCCGCTGCAGCTAATCGATAAACAAACTTTAGCTTTAACTTGGTCAATTTTGCAGATACTGAGCTGAAGTTTGTTGTAGTTTTAGCTGAGGTTTTTTAATATGGTGAGAATGATTTTTAATGTTTTTTTTTGTGAACAAAAAAGGACTCAAACTAAACATTTAGCATAAAAACACGATATTTAAAACGCGTCCAGTTGTTTTTAAACCTCGCTGCRTTTCTTGGGCCGAACTGATCCCAGCAGTTGTTTTCTGCCGAACGACCCGGCGAGCGAACACGTGTCAGCGCTCCGCTCTGATTTCTGGACCACAGTTCGGGTCGACCCGACCCGGGATTTATTTTGGTCGGCGGTTTGTGGAACTCGACTCCGGGGCTCATTTACCCCCCGACCCGAGGAGGCTGCAGCTTCCTGTCAACRCGTCGCTTCCAGCTCGTCCGGTTCCAGAAACTCACGGGTTCTACCCGTTACACCGCCGGAAATAAACCGGGTCGGAACACAAACACTTCCAGGACGAGTTCTTCCAACTGGGTCAGGATTTTCACAACAAAAAGTTCTCATATCAGATCAGCACGTTTAATACTTTCAGTAGTTTTAGAATTTAAATTTAAACCTTTTATTTTACATTCAAAATTTTGTTCAGGCTGTTGAAATTAAAAAGCATCAAAAAAGAAGGAAAAACTAAAAGTTCAAAATATAAATTAGAAAAATCTTTTGCTGTGAAGGTTTGCTGAAATCAGCTGAAATCAGCAGAAATCAGCTGAAATCAGCTGCAATAAATCTGCTTCAATCTGCTTCATTCTGCTAATAGTTGAAACCAGCAGCAATCTGCTGTAGCGAATCACTCTATGAAACTTAGGACCAGCCTAATCTTCACAAAATGAATCCCTCAAGATCTTGCAAAATGAAATCCCAGAATTAATGAAATACACCTCTGATCATGAATGAGAAAAATGAAAACTTGTGACTTAACGTCTGCTAACATCTGTTAACAGCTGAAATCATTTGAAATAAGCTGAAATTGTTACAAGCGAGTTGCTAAAACTGAAAGAATTAAACCGTTAGCTGAAATTTAAAAGTAAAATCTTAACCAAAAGCACAAGATGCAAAATGGTAACTAAAAAAGCTAAACATTAGATGCAACGCTACATGTAGCCAAAAGCTAAATAGAAAAAGGCAAAAACAAGCTATAAGTAGCAGAACAGTAGCTAAAAGTAGCATAAGGCTAACTGAAAGTGGTAATATTTTAGCTAAACAATCAATGTAGTAAAAGTTTAACTAAAAACAGCTGATCAGTAGCTAAAAGTCGTAAAATAGAAGCAAGTTAATGTAGCATAGAGCTAGCTCAAAGCATCAAACAGTTAGCTGAAAACTAAAATTGACAACATTCCAGATCAAAGCTCAATGTAGTAAAAGCTAACTAAAAACAGCAGAACCGTAGCTAATGAGTAGCAGATTGGTAGCTAAAATTCAAAAGGAGCAAGAGGAAAGAAAAAGTAGCATAAAGCTAGCTCAAAGCAGCAAAAGGCTGGGTAAAAACAGTAGCTACGAGCTAAAAGTATCATCAGATAAAAGTGTTTCTGTGGGTAAAATATTCAGAAATGAAGGTAAACATTTTGAAACTCCTAAAAGTTTTCACACCCTCAGGGGTCCTCCTCACCTTGATGCCCCCCATCCTCTGCTCGCTCTTGAACTCTCGGCCGTTCTTCATCCAGTGGATGGTGGGGGTCGGGTTCCCGTCGGCGGCGCAGCGGAACTTGACGGTGTTGGCCGCCGGGACGGCCAGGAGCTTCTTGTCCATCTGGCTCTGTCTGGTCCAGTACGGCGCCTCTGTGGGTTCAAAAAAAAAAAAAAGGCGTAAACATCTGTCGGACCATCGTAAAATTATCAGAATGTTTGTATCCCGTTCAAGATGGCCGCCACAGCCATAAAAAAACAATAATTTAGTCCATTTTTCAGTGCAGTAGTAGCTGAGAGTCATCCCCAACAAACACTCAGAGCTCTAAAAGGTCACTTATGCAGGGTTGCCAGATAAGAAATAAAATACTTTGCTGTTGATTTGATAGATCTATGTGGGGGGGGGGGGTGTATCGAGGAGCTGCTTGAAACCACCCGTCTCCAGTGGACATGTGGGTAACTTCAGGACCCTGAAGTGGTGAAACACAAAGTTTGACAGATGTTTTTCAAAGAACACAAAACCCGGAGCGTCTCGAGGAGCAAACAAACCTCCTCGTCTCCTTGTCTTGACAACAAAGCCGGAGTTGATGAGACGAGAGTCTGAAGAGCCGTCAGAGATTTATTGAGTCGTACCGAGCAGAGCAGAGAGGGGACAAAGCAGGACCACCGGATCATTGTTCCGGTTCTGGAGCTGCAGGGAGGCCGAGCGGCGAGGAGCGGTGAGGAGCAGCGTGCTCAAGCTCTTCATGGAAGTCTGTGTGTGTTTCCCAGGACAAAGGCTGGGGGGACGACGGGGGGGACATCATATGTCTCTATTCTCCTCCTGCAGGTCCAGGAGATGATTAACATGTGAAAGAAGAACTGCTAAACCAGATCAGACACGTCTCACATGACGTGTCTCCCTCCATGTGAGACGTGTCTCCATGTGAGACACGTCTGTCTCACATGGAGACACGTCTCACATGGAAGCAGACACGTCTCACATGGAAGCAGACACGTCTCACATGGAGACAGACACATCTCACATGGAAGCAGACACGTCTCACATGGAGACAGACACATCTCACATGGAAGCAGACACGTCTCACATGGAGACAGACACGTCTCACATGGAGGGAGACACGTCTCACATGGAATCAGACACGTCTCACATGGAGGGAGACACGTCTCACATGGAATCAGACACGTCTCACATGGAGACAGACACGTCTCACATGGAGGGAGACACGTCTCACATGGAAACAGACACGTCTCACATGGAGACAGACACGTCTCACATGGAGACAGACGTGTCTCACATGGAGACAGACGTGTCTCACATGGAGACAGACGTGTCTCACATGGAGACAGACGTGTCTCACATGGAGACAGACGTGTCTCACATGGAAACAGACGTGTCTCAC